GAGAAGAAATTTAATTTAGCCAACAAAAAAAAATTAGGGTAGTAAAAAGGAAAAAAATAGAAAAAAAAGATCAGTCCATAGACTACAAGCAGGGAGACAGGAAATGTTGCAATTACTTCAATCCACAAAACATCATTACTAACTAGAGCAGGAAATCTTCTAGTAGCAGTCCAATAAGTGTCAAAATTGCCGCTTTATTCTTACTTTGGGCACTAGTTGTTATTATTTTTTTCTAAGAAAAAGTTTCTTAACACGGATCTTCTGAAAGTAAAAAAAGAAAAAAAAACCTCACCAGATGGAACGCTTTCGCTTCGTCTCTTCCTTCAGGAGCCGTCTCCGACTATGCCAGCCTGGGGGCTGCCTGTTTATCCTCAGTTGGAAGCACTACCCTTGGGTCAAACAGGGACTTTGTGATGTCCCTGTGACCAGCAAGGCTTTGGCTTCCCTGTCACCGTCTCTTTGGGACGGTTTAGGTCCTACTGGACCGTTTAAAGACAAAGTTTCATCGACGGACCCGGACTGTCGGGTCTGTGCGATGTGTTGTCGCGACGTTGGCTCCTCCCTCCCCCCTCTGTCCAAAATTCTGATCACATGACCATCGGGATGCTGCAATAGTCATAAGTGTGAAAACCAATCGTCCCTTTTTTCAGTGCTGTTGTAATTTCAAATAGTCACTCAATAAATGGTTGTAAGTTGAGGACTACTTGTATTCATTTGGGCATTCTACTTTTCCATTTTGGACAAAGCAAGTGAGTGTCATGGCTGCAATTTTTTTTTTTTTTTTTTTTGCAAAAGTGCTGGTATTCATTAGAACCGCGTTTTTTTTCTCTTTGCACTCCATGGGGGTGGTATATGTTTTCTGGTAAAGCTGATCAGAACTAAGTGGAAACATCCAAAATCTACAAGCAACCTTTGACTTTATCTTTTCACTGATCAGTTTGGATTCATTCGCACGTCCGTTTCAAGGGAGTGGAATGCAGAAGTGGAAATTTGACATCGTCTGCTAAATCTTTTGTTGTTTCTCTGAAGTTCTCAGATATTTTCTTTAGCCTTTGTGTCAAGTTTAATGAGAATATAGAAAGCTAGAAATGTTCAGTTTAAGCCTGAAATGTACATGGCAAATGCCCAAGATACAAAGCTGATCTATTTATCCTCCCAACTTTCGGCTTCAGTTTGGCAACTAGCGGTGGTTTTTTATTGCTTGTTTTTGAAAAAAGGAAAAGAACCTGCCTTGAGAATGAACTCTGGTCAGTGGCTGGAATCCATGTGCACCACATCAAATTTAGAAAGATAACTTGGACAAAAGGTACCAAGATGGCATTTTAATTTCTAGACCATAGAATAGTAGAGTTGGAGGGGACCTTAGAGGTCTTCTAGTCCAACCCCCTGCTCGAGCAGGAGATCTTATACCATCTCAGACAAATAGTTGTCCAGTCTCTTTCTGAAAACCTCCTGTGATGGAGCACCCACAACTTCTGGAGGCAGGCAGTTCCATTGGTTGATTGCTCTCACCATTAGGAAATTTCTCTTTAGTTCTAGATTGCTTCTGTCTTTGGTTAGTTTCCAACCATCGTTTCTTGCCTTGCCTTTTGGTACTTTGGAAAATAGCCGGAATTGCTCATCTTTGTAGGAGCTCCTCAAATATTGGAAGACTGTTATCATGTCACCTCTAGTCCTTCTTTTTATTAGACTAGACATACTCAATTTCTTCATATGTTTTAGCCTACAAAAATATACAAATTACA